TTCCTCTGTGTCGTCTTTACCGGTCTTTTTTTTTATTTCTTTTGGATTGAAAATAATAGTTCAGCTGATTCAAAATGATTACACGTAATCGACAGATTACGTGTGGAAGTCTTGGCCTCTCTACAGCAACTGTGAAGCTTATAAACACTGATGGTCAAGAGCATATTGCTTGTTCAGTTGGAACAGGACCTGTTGATGCAGCTTATAAGGCAGTGGACCTCATTGTGAAGGTTCAATACAACAGAAACTCTCATAAAACTGATGGTCAAAATTACAACTGTATTTATGAAACATTTATCCTTTATACTATTCGTGTACTGCATTAATGTACTTTTCCTCGTTATGCAGGTGCCTGTAACGCTCCTTGAATATTCCATGAATGCAGTCACAGAAGGTATAGATGCCATAGCATCAACCAGAGTGTCAATCTGCAGTGAGGATGGGCATAATGTAACGAATGGTTCAACTGGACAGACTATTCACCGCACATTTAGGTACGAAATATTGTTTGCCTCTTTCAGTTTTACATGGAAAATTTCCAAAGAATGACACAGCATGGAAGTGTAAATGTAGCCAGTGCTACCAAGATGGGAACAGAAAAATATGCACACAAAATATGACAAGTAATGATTTCGATATCTAAATGCCAAACCTTTATATGATAGAAATGTATCACAGGCTCATAACACAGGTAAGGAACTTCAGTATCTAATATGTGAAGCAGTTATATAATGTAGATGCCCTTCGACAGAAAATTACACTGTATATACAAGGTTAAAATTAAGTATGTTGTATGTAGATATAGTAGCTGTTGAATCCCCTTGGCTTCTTCGTGTGTTCACTTCTTCATATTTTGAACCTCCTTAATGAAAATCCTAGTGTATCCAACAATACAAGTAGGAGCGACAAATGCTTAACAAAGTGATGACATGCTTCACTGTATATCAGAAACATATATGCTTGAGTCCAGCACGCAGTTGATACATGAACATCTTCTTCTTAGGCGACTCATAGGTTACCAGAATAAATGCATCAGTTTTCCTTTTTGACTTGTCTCATCTTTTTTTACAGTGGAACTGGGGCAGATATGGATGTTGTTATCTCTAGTGTCCGAGCCTATATTGGTGCATTGAACAAAATGTTGAGTTTTGAAAAGCTGGTCTCAAGATACAGCAAACCTGAAGACAGTGTGGTGGTATAAATGGTCCTACGTTCTAGTTTCTCGTCATTTGTCTTGTCAATTGTATACAAGTAGGGTGCCTTATCAACAAATTACGACTTGCCTGGAAGAAGTGACAACGATAAAAGGCAAATTTGAGTCGTCATGCATTTTCATTTTCTTGCACATTGTCTCCATTCTTCTGCAGGTTGATGTACAGCTTGTAGTATTAGATGTGTCATGTGTGAAAGTCATTTAGGCTTTGTGTTGTACCAATTAAACAGTCACTTAATGTGGTTTAGCTTTAAATTTGTTTGTGCTTAAACAAAGCTATGTTAGGAGCTTCTCTTTGAAGTTAATTACAGAAGCATCTGAGGTTTCTTTCTGAATGATTTTTAAAATTGCAAAAGTCTGTTTTATTGTTAATTTTATAGTATTAATCTGGTTCTTTGATTGATTTTTTATTTCCAAAGGAAATGTGAGGGGATAATCATACTGTTTGTTTATATATATATATATATATAGATGTTGAATTTCTTTTGACTTTTTTTTGTATTTATTTTTTCATATTTTGAATTTTCTTAGTGATCTCTTCAATTGTTGCATCTAAATTTTCAAATTTCTATTTTTGCAAGAAGTGATGACTGACAGGGATCGATTTTATATGGCTCTGTTTCACATATATCAAATCACCTCAATAAAAAGATCTTTGTCAACATTAAGTAATTAAAATAAACCATCTCCTCAATACTTAAAACACATAAACTTTACGTATCTCAACAAGTAACAGATAATATAATAAAAAAATACAAAATATATTATATGATCCTAAAAGTAGGGGTGTACAAAATCGAACCAAAAATCGAATCAAATCGTAAATTGAGTCAAATCGGAAAAGAAATCCGACTAGTGGTTTAGTTTGACTTGATTTGGTATTGAAAAAAAAAAATCCGACTATATTTGAGTTGGTTTGGTTTTAACTAAAAAAACCAACCCGACATTATATATATAATTTTAAAAATTTATTTTATACATAAAAAATATTTACTTTGATATAATTTTTAAATATTTCTTATACTTTTTATCTTTTAATATATTATTTTCAAGTTTGAAACTTAGAATTATGATGGTTCAATAAAGATTATTAGTCCACAATGTTGGTAATTATAATAAAACTTAAATCAAAATCAAATTAATACTAATGCAAAAAGAAAATCAATTCAACACTAAGAATGACAATAATATTGAATGTTTGTTCTTTAGTTTTACATTGATTTAGACAATTTAAATACATAATCTAATTTTAATTTCGCTTTAATATTTAATATGTAACTAATACTTATTAAACTTATTTTAGCATGATTTAGTACTTTTAAATTATGATCATTTTCATTGACTTGTTAATTTGCAATATTTGTTTTACGCGATTTCATTATTATTATTATTTTTTGTTGGATATTTTAGTGTCATTAATCATATCATATTTTGTGTTATTTTCTTAAAAAACACCTTAGATAGTTATATTTCGGTAAGACTAAAGAAATATTTGAAGTACAAGTAAATTATATATTTGTATGAATACTTTACCTAAAAAACCCGAGTTTTATTGGTTTGGTTTGATTTATAAATTTAAAAATTCGATACAAATAATTTAATTTAATATTTAAAAAACTCAAACCAATCCGACCATATACACCCCTACCTAAAAGTATAACATGCGTGAATGTGTACTCCGATCCCAATGAAATGCAGTGCAGGCGTGTAGATCTGATCCAAAATATTGTAACAAAATTCAAGATATATACTACTCCCTCCGTCCCATTTTATATGAGGTACTTTGACTCAGCACGGAGTTTAAGAAAGAAAGGAAGACTTTTAAAACTTGTGGTCTAAAATGAATGATAGAAATTTGTGTGGCTGTAAATCATTTCATTAAGGATAAAATAAATATTTTATAGTTAGATTGTTACTTTATATAGAAATGTGTCATTCTTTTTGGGACTAACTAAAAAGAAAAGTGAGTCATATAAATTGGGACAGAGGGAGTATAACTTATGAAAGTCAAATCAATTTATTTATTTATTACTTCATGTCAAATCACTGTAAAACTAAAACAACAATTATCACGAAATATTACCTCAAATCCGTAAAGGAGAGTAAATCATCAACTATAAGCCACATATCTATTAAAGCATTCTCATTAGTCATATAGAATCATTACAAACAAGTAGAAATAATCCATATCGTAGCATCTATAATTGCTCATCATCTTATTTATATATATGAAACCCCTATTTTCCATTACTCCTTTTATCCAATCAAGCAATACCCTAAATCGGATTCTCTTAAAAGAGAGTCAAAGAAAGTCTCAACTTGTCTTAATTGAAGTTTAAAAAGTTAAATTACGATTTTGTCCTTCCTTAAAACGGTCTCAATCTAGTCAAAGATATAATCTAGATGAGTATACAAGTCCTTAGACACCCATATTTTCACAAAAAAAATTAGCTTGAAAATCGAATAAAAAAGTCAACCCAAACCCAGATATCGAATGTGAAAATTTCTTGCAAAATTGATTGATCTATAGTATACCTTAGAGAGCTCATACGTTCAAAATAAACTAAGTCGGATAGTTTTGAGCAAAGAACATAATTGACATGCAACGATTCACCTATACTTATCCTATTCATAGGTATTAGACTTGCGGAGTTTGAGCTTTGAGGTTTGGTGTTTACTAGATGCCTTTATTTGTTTTGCTTAATTATACATTAGAATTTTATTTTGGTCCAAAATTTCACATTTTAGAATAGTAAAATTATCCGTGCGTCGCGCGAACGGAAATTTAATATCACGAAATTTATAAAACAATACTTAAAATCTATCGGTTATTAAAATTAAAACATCATATTTACGTAGTAACGGACATTAATAATGTAAAGGAAAATGCAAATTATAACATCTTATTATTTATCCTTAATAATATAAGCATAAATTAATGACCGTAAAAAAACATACTAAGATCTATAACAATAGAATGAAACGGAAAGGAAAAAATCAAGCCCACTGAATGCACAATGTCTCCTTATGGATATTATTCCCCTCTGGTACCCGATGTTTAAAGGAATAAATTCTCTTAGGATAGAACGATTCTATTCACCAGTGTATTGATACAAAAACAATAGTGTCAGTGAGCCACTCAACAGGAGCAAAGTACTGATTTTTTTAAAATTATTTGAATTTATATTTTCTATGGTAATTTGTATTTACATGACGCTTTTGAAAAAAAGTAAAGACAACTGAAATAATTACAATATAACCTGATATGATAGAATTGGTCGAATGATAAACACTCCTCACTTCCAACGTTAAAATTGTGAGTTCAAGTCACCAAAGAAGCAAACTTCATCATATATAGGAAAACATAGTTGAACTTTCAACTAAGAAAATAGAAATTTTGCAAAAAAATACAATACAAAAACAATCTAAGAGTAAGAGGAGGGTAATCAGAGATTATCTTTAAGGATTTTCATCCTCTACTTTTTACCATTTTTTGTGATCTACGTAAACAAACAATAGAACACTGGCTCATTTAAGGTATCTAACATCATTGGGCTACAATAATCTGTTGTGTCAAATGTGTCCAAATATGTTATTTAATCATTCTGTCTATCATTTTACTTGTATATACGATATTTATTTCTGATGGAGGGTGTCCAGACACCATCTGCCTTTGAACAACAACAAAAAAGAAACATAAAACAATGGAGTAAAGTGTTATGGATGACTGGATAAGTTTCCACCCTTGCATTGAGAAGCGCAATATTGAGAAAAACACAATTGAGGATACTAGGAAAAAGAAAAATCATCTAATCTTGATACAAAAATTGTGATCCATAAATTTACAAATAAAGCACCACTTGACCTCTGTTTGAGGAATAGGGTGCAGTTACTCTCCAAAGATTGTGACAAAATTACATGGACTTATGGTAGTACTATCTTACTTACAAACAAACAAAACAGAATTATGAAACACTTTCAAAGAATTCTGAAGCTAAATATAACCTAAATTAGATGTTCTATTGAGTAATGGAAGGCTCAGATGCAGCATTTTGCATTTCACTACCTGAGATTCCGGATTGAACAAATGAACGAGCCATCCCTGTCATTGTTGCAACCTCCTTCTTGTACTGCATAGGGGGAGGAAGAGAGTACAGGGGGAAAATATGACATAATCAGTTTCTTGTGAGTCAGCTTCGCTGCAGAGATAGGCAAAAGCACGAAAATCTTACCTCGTCGACAGCTCCTGCCTTAATTTTAGACTGCATAATGCACCATTTCTTGAAATGCGCACCTGTTCGAATCTCAGAAGTTAGTTCACCTTTACAATATCATAATTCATATCCCCATTCTTAATATGTTAGATGGTTGATACTTAAAATTCTAATCTTCCTGGTCACCCATATAAGATATACTTAACCACAGTTGCTTCAGTAACCATCATGTAACACAATTGACACCTATGAACTATGCGGTGGGTTGTATCATGCTATAATTCATAGAGATAGATACAACAACCCAGTGTAATCCCGCAAAGTGGGAATTCACACAAATAGACTAGAATTAGATGACAATGCAGATTCAGACCAATCAGCTTGGAGTACTCAAGAAATTTTCTAATTGCAGCTTAAGATCAAATGATCTTAGAAGGAGGAACTTGGGAGGCACAAGTGAAGGCTCTAACCATTGCAAGAGGTAAACAGATTCACACCTACTTAAAATCCCAGTGTGATGGATGAAAAGGGTAGTAGTCCTCCATAGTCCCCAGGGCTTTGGTCAGAGTGGTAAGAGCACAACACGTGATGTGTGGGTTACGCGCACGTCATAGGTTCAAACCCTGTGGCAGGCAAAATCTCGGTACTTAAGTGGAGAAGAGTAGAGGGGTGGGGCTCATAATCCACCAAATTTCGAACGCAGCCTTTGGCCCTCAGAGACTTTTCAGTAAGTAAAAAATGGAAGAGTAGTCCATAAGAGTCGACGAAAGAGTACTACAAGGTGACTAGTAAGGTAACTGACAGAAAGTATAAAAAAAATGATAAGCTAAATGACAGACTGGTTGATTTTTCACAAAGGTAAAGTCATTCCTGGTGGTGCATTACAAATTGAACAATGTAGACAAATATTCCAGATCCTGCCTGGTCTATTTCTAGAAAGAATCTATTATAAAAAATTACCAAAAATAATCGGTAAACCAAGAACCAGAAATTCTTTTCAACGAGCAAAAGGTGACGAATGAATAGTGGATTAAACACTTCCAACTGAACGAGAAACCATAGCCTAGAAGAAACTTACCAACTTTAATGTCTAAACTGCAGGACGAGTCAGAAGATGCCTCTAACAACCATCTACAGTGAACCTGATTCAATGACAAATCGAATCAGTAAGAAAGGTAAACAAGGGGAGATCCTACAGCAGATAAGCAATGATATATAGCATGTGGGGTCATCTATAAGGACCACCATTGAATTGAAACCACAAATACTGGAAAAAGAATATGGGCTGATGACCAAACCCAGCAATACCTCAAAGCATGATCCAAATGGGACATCATGGGCCTGTTGTACAGTCTCAAAAACCTAAAAGAAAGGAAAATGGTAAACTAATATAATACAAATTATTATAGCATAAAAGCAACCAGTAAACAAGGTGGCAAAAGAAATGATGAGATACCAGCATTTTCTTATCCGGGGACAAGATGGCGTGCTGGTACTCCGTCATTGCTGAATCTGGGGGACACATAGGACTGTTACATATGGTTCTGAATGTAATCTCTCTGACTTGGCCGTCATACTCATCAGCAGAATGCCATGGACCTATCTATAAAAATAAAGGCATTCGAAAGTTTAGCCAGAGTTAAGGCCACAGGAGTGAAGCAATTTTTATTTTGGGGTCACTCTAGCTCTAGACAGGAACAACTGAAACACACAGTAATATCTCCTTCCAAAGATGTGTTAAATTTTGTTAACCTAATTGCAGAAAAAGAAATGTACGCCTGTGACAACTACTTCATATTTATTTACTTCCTCTTCTTCTCGAAGTCAAAGTCTGAAATATTTGTGCCTCAAAAACTAATTTAGTTAATTAAAATCAGCAGAGGTCAATTGAATTTTACAAGACAAAAGGGAACAAAGAGGTCCAAGTCTACAAAGAACACATCAACTAAACATAAGCAGTTGTTTTCATCCTTCTGAAAGGTTACTTCTTTTTGTTCCATCAAGAAATAACTCATATTACACTTTCTTACTTCTTAATGGTTTTATTTAGCATCATTAAATTTTTCTTATTGTTTTCAGGGTCAAGGATAACCTTTATTAATTGAGGAAACATTTCTGCACTATGCAGTAAAAAGTGAAAAAGGCTAAATTCGGTTCGCTAAGTTGTCCACTCATATTTAGGTGATTTAAAGCTAAGTTGCTTGGACTCTTCACTTTCGGTGCCGCACCCGTGTCGACACGACGTGGGTGTGGGTGTGGGATCCATACCCAATCTGGTCAACTAGTTTTGGGTACTTTGACCAAATTTGAGGGAGAAATTCTAGACATATTCAATGATTTCTAAAATCAAAACAAACACTAAGGTGGAATTGAAGAAAATGAATATATAAAACTATTGTCACTCCCTTTTCTTTCATCTCCTTTCAAAATTCTCCTCTTGATCAATATTCTCTTAGGGATGGCAATCGGGGTAGGGCAGGGTGGGGTGGGGGAGGGTAAAACCTAAATGGGGCGGGGCGGGGTTATACATTAATAGGGCGGGTCGGGATTATACACAGTTCTGCAATTATTTTTGAATTATGTAAGAAGAACAGAGCAAAGTAGATTATTACTCTGAACACCACTTTCATTGATGAGTTTCACTAATCCACTGTATTTCACAATTGTATTGCTATTAGAAAGTCAGAGACTGCTCTATTACTCATTTTTCTTACATATATATTATTTTTTCAATTTGAGATTAAGTATATCATATTTAATTTTTAATATCTTGATTATTTCAAGAAGTTTGAAGAATGCATGTATAAATGCACGTTAAAAGGGCAAAAATAGAGTAGTTTGAACTTGTATTCTAAATCAGAAAGAATATTATACAGCAGAATTGAACATATTACAAATAAAAAAATAACAAGCAAAAATTGAAAAAGAGGGTAGGGCAGGGCTTAATAGAGCGGGGCGGGGCAGGGATTTTTTTTTTTTAAAATTACTAAACGGGGTGGGGTAGGGCCAGTAAAAATCTAAATGGGTCATGGCTTGCCCTACCCCGCCTAGCCTCGCCCAGTTGCCATCCCTAGTTTTTCCTCAAGCTTTCCACATAATATCTCATAATTTAGGTTTTATAACTCTATTTTTAGATATTTAAATTATTTTTAGCCGAATCCGCGCACCCGAATCCATACATGGATCCGTATCCCCCAATCTTAAAATTTAGATCATAGAGGATCCGACCTCTAGATCCACACGCGTACCAGACATCCGCACCCGAGTCTGAGCAACTTAGATTTAAAAGTAGTTTAGTAACAGTAAAATATAAGCATTTTTTCCCTGTTGATCATAGAAAAAATTTAGTGTAGGAATAGGGATCAGATACAGTGAGGCCAGTGATGTATCAAATTCATCAGACTTTCAGAACATAAAAGATTTCTGAGCAAGTAATGCTTTTTTTAGATTGTGATAGGCAACTCTAGCTTTATGCTTTAATGCCTCATCAACCTAAAGGGAATTTCCTAGAGCTTAAAGTATCAGTTTCTTTCCATTCGATTCAGAACCCTTCTCAACTCATCATCTCATAAATCTCCTAAATTGCTCTCCCCTCAGTGTTACTTTCATGTTCCTAAAACATCAGCAGCAACCCTTGCTCCTCTTCAGCCCCTTCTGACAGGCCTGGGCATATACTCAGCAGTAGTCTCCATGCAGATTTGGATTACACACAACATACCATCACATTCAAGATATGGAGAAAATATATTTCCACCAAGTTCACTTTTTCTGCTTACTTTGTTTTCCAATAAATAGAAAGAGATTAATAAGAAATTGCACCAGAAACACTACAACCTGATAATCAACATCACAGGTTCTTCAAGGTAACTTACATGCTTATTTCCTCTTTGAAATCTAGCTATTACCTACCTCTTTTACTTTTGACTGAGCATATGCCCCAAAAGATGCATTTCAATTGAGTGAGAAATTATTTTGACATCCAACTATAGTAAAACATCCTGCTTCACCCACATTTTATTTATTTATTTTTTAAAATAAAGGAAAAGAAAACAAAACTGTAGTACTTGAGCTCTGAAATGCATAAAATGAGAAGCACAGTTCACAAAAACGTTCTAACTGTAAGAAACCAAGACATGGAACTTACATTGAGATTAGAATCTTTGCGTGCTATACGGTACTCGGTAGTGAAATTTGAACCATCAGACAATAGTATGTCAAAAAATTGTTGAGGTGTACATGGGAAGGTGTCCTGAAAATTTATAATAAAATCTTAAATCATGTATCAAGAGGTTCTTGTTGCTAAATGATAAGAGCTTAGGTTTCATACATACATTGTATATACCAGAAAGGACTTCTTCTTTGATAAAAGGCTGAGATTTCCCAGTCATTGGCACATTTTCTTCCCTGCTCATATCCATCTTTTTACTTCCTTTAACTGAGCTGCTATGTGCACGTAGTGCTGACTGTTCCCTCTCCTAAAAGAAAACCAAGACGGAAAATTTGTGGGGATGGGGGATCATGACCGAGAAGATAAACGTAGGTATAGAATGGAAAATCTGGGGAAAACTGTCACGACCAAAAGATGCACTATAAATAATTACAAATTTCTTAAATTCTAAGCTTTATGAACAAATTTAAAACTGCTGAGATTAAGAACACATCTGCACATGATGTTGCTTCAACAAGCTCACAGATTAAAATATTATTACATAACATCAGAAGTATGCAGTGACAATAACAAATTGTTATACCACTTAGCAATGTTTTGTAGCCTCCAAGATTAACAGAGCATTTCTTTGCTCTTTTGCTTGGCCAACAAGTTGATAAGATGCTTATGAGAAATGAAACATGAGCGTCATTCTTTAGTAATAAAAAATATTTAGGCAGGCAATAATTAACATGTAAATTGGGACCTTCCTTACACAGTTACACAATGCAATCACATTGACGAGACTCGTAAATGCTACTTCCAACATGTTTGCGTTGATTTACAACCAATAACCATTCCTTTCATTTTTGATAAAATACAAAAACGAATGATAAATGCATACAATTTAACCAGTAACTCTTCCTTTCTAAACCTAATTTATCCAACCCTATTTGAAACCAAGTAATCGGGATGTTATCAACATGACAAAGAGCTATACTAGAAAAGGCCCATGTCTCTGCTCCCGATGATTAAAATTATTGTCTAGGATTATATTCTTACAATTGATCTGAAAAAACTCTCAACATGAAAGCATGAAAGCAATCACCCCTTTTTCCTTGGAACAAGGATCTATTTTACAAGCACATAAAGTAGGGTGCTTAATGTCATTCTTATGCACTACTAGGCAATTGAATCATCCATCACAAGTCAACACATGTATTCTAGCCCTTTCCTTTTTCTATTTTCTTTCTTTATATTCTACACACATTGTCATGCTCGGAACGTACACCAATATGCCTGAATGTTAATCACCCTAAACAGCTTCCTACCAGTTTACCACGGTATAGCTCTTCATGAGAGAACATCAATGTGGTAATCAAAATCAAACAGCTATCCAAAGTCTTCTTCTTACCTAGAGTGTAAATAGAGATATTAACTATGCTAGCAGAAATCTTCCATCAATTAGAAGTGAGATAAGATGATAAATAGAAGAAAGACATAAATTTGATGTTTAGTATGCTAATGCATTAGAACAGGTAGCTTACATGATACATATCCTATATGCTACAGGACTCTTTTGGTAGTTAACTTAAGTAGGAAATATTTCCAATGTGCAGCACAGTAACACAGGTGGGACTTGGGAGAGGATGCAATCACTTACTAGTTCACTGTCCTATTGCATCCAGATTATGGGTATGGTCTGGAGCATAAATTTGAGTGTAACATGGATACTAGGGACTGCTGGAGTTGTGCTTCTAGGATATAAATTGGGAGAAAGAGAAGGAAATCAGAAGAGCTCCTCCTGCCTGCACTCATGCAGCTAATATGCGAAGAGAGAATAGGAGAGCGTTTGAACGGATAGAGAACTTGTTTGTATAGATTATTGGAAATAACAAATTTGTACAACTTTGAAGCACTTAGTGATATTGTGTTACTGTTGATGCTCTTTGTAAATACTCATGTCTTCCTTTTAGATTCTCTACATTTTGTGTACACCTTGTATGTGGGATCTCCCCATCTCATTAATAAATTATAACTTCATCAACAAAAAAATAAGAGGAAAAACACAGTGAAGCAGGCAATTTGATTTGTAGGATGTTCTAAAAGCAACCTTCATTAAGAATGTATAACTGCTTAATGTCTCAAATAATTAGAAAAAAGGACTAATCAAAGCACAGAAATACCTTTTTCTCTGCTTCTAGCATGGCATGATAGTTCGTTGATGATCGTTGCAAGGCTCTAATTGCATGATTCCTATTCCAAAAAGACGCGAACATATATCGTACTCTCCCTAGAAGTTGCAAAGTTATGTGATTAGACAATCGATATTAAGAATCAAGAATGTCAATATTAAATTCAACCATCTAACATGAGTTAAAATAAAGAACTTCTCTTCTTCGCAATTTGTATCTCGTTTTCTCTTGAAAGAGTATTGATAGAGGAGTTAATTGTGTATGTTTTTTAGTTTGTTGTTAGCTTGAAAAACATGTGGTGCCAGCCAACAGGTAGATATTAGAGCTCTTTTTTGTTTTACATTTTTCCCTAAAAGCTTTGAGTATTAGGTGGCAGAAAAAGAAAACTTGCATTGAGAAGTTCTTTTTTTTGACAAAGGTAACAGTTTTGTGTAGGATCCCAAATTTACATCATGGAGCTACATACAGTTGAGTATACTCAACAAAACTAAACTAGATCCTACTTCATCTAACAAAAAACCTAGGATATCTATAATATGTATATGATCATCTACATACTCAGAACTGCACCAATAGCAAAAAGTGATAATGCAATTCATTTTAATCCTATGTAAAGGACTACTCATGCTCTCATAACATCTCATATTTCTCTCCTTCCATATGGTCCGCCAAATCACTGCTGGGACAATTCCCCATCTGCTTTGGTCTATACTGCCACTACCTTCATTGTTCCAGCTTTCTATAGCCTGACTTACCCTTTGTGGCATGGTCCAACTTGTGCCCCTAAAGCTTGTAAACAAGTTCCAAAGCTGTCTAACCACCCTACAGTGAAGAAACAGATGGTTGATTATCTCTGCCCGTTTCTCACAAACAAAATATATAGGACACATATGTATTCCCCTCTTCATGAGATTCTCCGGAGTTAGTGCTGCCTCTTTTACTACCAACCAAGTAAAGATTGCCACCTTATATGGAATTTTGACTTTCCAGATAAGCTTCTAAGGCAAAAATCTGAGTTGAGTCCCATTTGATCCAGATTCTTGTAGGCAGAGCTAGCTGTAAAGATACCTTTGTTGTGATGAATCCACCTGAGAGTGTCTTCTCCCTCTTTCAATCCTTCAAAATGGTCTAGGGTGCCATAAAATTCAGCTAGTCTATCCACCTCACAGTCTTGTAGATGGACCAGACTTCTTGCACAATGGCTTGTTGTTGTTGATTCAGCAGATAGATGTCTGGAAAGAGCTGCTTGAGGCTGCCATTTCCTAACCAGTTATCATCCCAAAACAAAATCTTCCTTCCATTGAATCTATTTCTTTGAAGAAACTATGCCACAAATCTCTGATTGATTTCCATAAGCCAATACCATAGGCAGAAGTCACTAGGGATGGCAATGGGGTGGTGCGGGGTGGGGGCGGNTAATCCGCCCCTCCCCGCCCCGCATAACATTTTTTTTCATTTTCAACCCGCTCTGCATAGACCCGCCCCACATGAATCCGCCCTGCATACTTTTTTTAATATTTTCTTTTTCTAGTTAAGTTTGATACTAAAAATAAAATTCATAAAAATAAATTCATTTTTTCATTAAGTTGTATTAATTTAATAGGATAGTGACTAAATTTTTTATTTTTTTGAGGTCAACTGGAAAACATGTAAGAAATTGAATTATTTTTTATTGAACCATTTTCATTTACTATCTTGAATATTTTAGTAGCTTTAAAGAAATTATCTTAATAAATAATGCTCTATCACTCTTATAACATGTAAAAAATTAAAATTAAATTTAGACCCAAATAAAATCACATATACCCCAACCCGCATTAGTTTTAAAAAAACCCACTTCAACCAGCCCCACATCCCACCTGCCCCGCACAACCTTAAACCCGCCCCACCCCACATCCGCCCCGCCCCATTGCCATCCCTAGAAGTCACTTCCTTAGTTTTCCAGTAGTCTATCTTCTCATACTTGGCCTGAATCACTCTAACCCAAAGGGACTGCTCCTCTTTAGGAAATCTCCACAACCACTTCATCATAAGGCTTCTGTTCTGTTTCTTCAAGTTTCTAATGCCTAACCCACCTTGTTTCTTTGAAAGATTTACAGTCTTCCATTGGACCAAATGAAATCCTTTGTACTCTTTCTCTCCATTCCACAAAAAATTCCTCCTTAATGCATCAATGCTTTCCTCCACCTTAGGTGGGAGAGGAAAAACTGACATCAAATCTGTTGGCAAAGCATAAGACTGAGTTGATCAGGGTCAATCTTCCACCTCTAGATAAATATTGTGCTTTCCATCTGAGTAATTCTGGGTTATATGGTACTTAAAATTTCATTTATTATTTTTGATAATTAAGGAACCATTTTATTATCAAGTGAGCAATGAACAAAGAAAAATAAATACCTATTTGACATTATGACCCAACTGCCATTCAGAAGCCCAGACCCCACTTAGTGGGATTTCACTGGGTATGCTGTTTTTGTTGTTACAGTTCAGCATAGCACCTACCAAAGAAAAATAATCCTACACCACACTATTCTCTACTCTATATAGGGTAGAAGTTATGGTGATCCAGCCAAGACTGCTGCTTATAGCTCCTCTTGAATGAATGTCTTGGATTATCTGCTTCACAATAGACTCAATGGACTGCTGCTTCTTGTTGTAAAATTTCATTTTTCTTAAAATAAAAGTAGATACTATTTTGGGTCAGTCATCATTTTCTTTATAAAAGTAGATACTATATAAAGGAAACTTGGCATGAACTTTAGACTCTCACATTATCGCGCTAGGAGTCTACAAGAGTTATACAAGTCATCAGAGAATCTCCTCCTAACAAATCAGTCAATCATTTTACACCTCAACCCAAAATCAGTTTGCACAGGGATTTTCCTCCTAACAAACCAAAACCCAAAAGAACTGAAAAGCTCATTCATTATCCAACTTGCCGACTCATTTAAAGGAAGAAAAAGCATATAAAATTATTGAAATTCACAAAATAGGTTGGTTTACTAACCATCAGGATTTCCTAAAGGAGGTACCCCATGACCGCCTGCACCTGTACGCAGAATTATTGTAATAGCAGGGTTAATGAATGCATGCTGGCTCCTCCTTATCTAAAAGCAAAATAACACTACCATCAATTTCCAAAATATTTCCAAGGCAACCTTCCCAAAGCACCGTGACAACTTGGAAATGACAATCCTGATAACATGCACAGATAATATCATACCTCGTCAATATCTCCCAAAGGAATAACTACCTGTGAAAAGAGAAATATAAGCATGGTCAAATGAGCAGCCTAGAATACACAAGCTTCTGCATTCTTGAGATAAATTTACAATATCAAAATGGCTGGGGGAAAATACAGTCTTGACCAGTTAGATCCAGGGTTGGAAAGAAAAATATTAGGATATAGAACCAAGCGCATATACTAGAGAATTAGAAAGGGATGTTTTTAGCCAGAATCAAATTTTGTTTATCAATCAAAAAAAAATTCCAACAAATTTTGAATAACATTCTCCAAAGTTCAAAATATCCACCAGTGAGGTCACAGTAGAAATATTTGTAACTAGCCTTCTGAATGGAAGTACTGCACCCAGGACAAGCTAATTAGCATTGAGGAAAAAAGACAAACAAACTGTTATAGAATGTATATAGACTTAATCTTAGTAATATACATAGCTATATATAGGCAGCAGATTTATAGGGATCACTGCAGATCTGTAGGAATCACTCTTTATTTCTTTCCTTAGTTAGCACCTTATGTATTGTATTTATTCACTGTTCACCTACTGGAATAAGATAAGATCTTCCATTCAATTACATGGGATCAGAGCCAATAGGCTCGTGTCGTTTTGGCTGTGTTACGGAAGAAGTTTGGATTTCTATTCCACTGATTTAAAGTGGTCAGTCATCACCACCACAGAAGGAGGCGTAGTATATTTTCCAGCCAAACCAGTCTTCACCAGCATCTGGTTGTGAAGCGAGTGGCTGTCACGCACCGGTCATACAGTCTTTTGTTCATCACGGGCCGGCACGTGAAGGTGCGTGTCTGGCTGAATTGATTGGGTTTTAATTTACGGCATCGACACGTATTTCTGGTGAATCTCAGGTCTGTTCTGGTGTTAAAATAGATCTGGAAAGTCTGTTCGGTCACTTCTCAGGTCTGTTTTGGTGTTAAAATACGATCTGGAAAGTTTGTTCGTCACTTCCTGGTTCTTTTCTATTCTGCTACATTGAATTTGGTTTGTGATTTGTGGTTCTGTGGCTGCTAGCTTCTACTTCAGATCAGATAATTGGTGTTGTTTGGTCATAAGCTGCGGTTCAGAATTTCTTTCTCTGAACTACTTGCTTGGGTATTTGATTGTTCATTACTTGCTCTTGTCTACTGGTAAAGTACTCAGATTCTTCATTTTGGGTGAATAATTGGTTTCTTAGTTGATAAAATCATTTTTTAGAATTTGTTCAACAGTGTTTGTGGGGTCACATACATGCTTCTGGTTATATTTTCTGTTGATAAGTTCTTGTGCTGCTAAAATATTTGGAGAGAATGACTGAAATTGTGGCTCCTATGTTTTCGGATAAAAGAACTTTGGTTTCGGCGGAAGAGTTTGCAAAATTCTCACAATATCAAAAATTACAAAAAGAATCTATTTCAGCTACTACCCTTGTTGAGTCAGGAAAAGCATGTCTTATATCCTCTTCGAATAAATGGGTGATCGATTCAGGTGCCACAGATCACATGACAGGTAATCCTAATATATATTCTAGCTTTCGATCACACGGAGCACTCTCTCCTGTGACGGTTGCTGATGGTTCAATCTGTAATATTATAGGATCTGGGACTGTAAAACCAACTTCTTCCATTACCTTGTCATCTGTATTAGGTCTACCAAAGTTAGCCTTTAATTTGATGTCTGTTAGTAAGCTTACCAGAGACCTAAACTAGAGCACTCTCTCCTATGACGGTTGCTGATGGTTCAATCTGTAATATTATAGGATTTGGGACTGTAAAACCAACTTCTTCCATTACCTTGTCATCTGTATTAGGTCTACCAAAGTTAGCATTTAATTTGATGTCTGTTAGTAAGCTTACCAGAGACCTAAACTGTTATATCTCTTTCTTTCTCGATCATTGTTTATTTCGTGATCTGAAGACAAATAAAGTTATTGGTAAAGGACATGTATCCGATAGTCTCTACATTCTAGATGAATATTAGGAGCCTCAATTTGCTGCCTACTCTTGTGTTGTGTCTCTATTTGAGGCACATTGTCGATTAGGACATCCTTCTTTGCCTATGTTGAAGAAGCTCTATCCTCAATTTCAGAATATTCCTTCACTAGATTGTGAGTCGTGTCAATTTGCCAAACACCATCGTAGCTCAACAAAACCAAGGGTTAATAAGCGGGTGGAGTCAATTTTTGAGTTAGTTCATTCAGATGTTTGGGGACCATGTCCTGTTGTTTCCAAAACCGGACATAAGTATTTTGTCACATTTGTGGATGATTTCTCTCGAATGACTTGGATTTATTTTATGAAGAGTCGTTCTGAAGTGTTTACTCACTTTTGTGCTGAAGTCAAAACTCAGTTCAATACTTCAGTGCGTATTCTAAGGAGTGATAATGCTAAAGAATATATGTCAGAATTGTTTCAGTCCTACATGAGACAACATGGTATTCTCCATCAAACTTCATGTGTTGATACACCCTCTCAAAATGGAGTTGCTGAGAGAAAGAATAGGCACCTACTTGAGACAGCTCGAGCACTTTTGTTCCAAATGAAGGTTCCTAAACAATTTTGGGCTGATGCAGTCTCTACAGCTTGTTTTTTGATTAATCGCATGCCATCGACTGTTCTTGTTGGTAATGTGCCTTACAATGTTCTTTTTCCAAACAAGTCACTATTTCCGGTGGAGCCTAAGGTATTTGGAAGCACGTGTTATGTTCGAGATGTTCGGCCATCTGTTACCAAGTTGGACCCTAAGGCATTGAAGTGTGTTTTCTTGGGTTATTCACGCCTTCAGAAGGGGTACCGATGTTATTCTGCAGAGCTTGGTAAATACTTGGTGT